CCCTATCCCCTGTGGAGACATGTAGAGGACACTACATACTGATATACACCTGAACATCAGCAGGAGAGGACTCTTTAAAGTAGAGACACTACATACTGATATACACCTGAACATCAGCAGGAGAGGACTCTTTAAAGTAGAGACACTACATATTGATATGCACCTGAACATCAGCAGGAGAGGACTCTTTAAAGTAGAGACACTACATATTGATATACACCTGAACATCAGCAGGAGAGGACTCTTTAAAGTAGAGACACTACATATTGATATACACCTGAACATCAGCAGGAGTGGACTCTTTAAAGTAGAGACACTACATATTGATATACACCTGAACATCAGCAGGAGAGGACTCTTTAACTTATAAAGAGAATGTTTGGCCTGTTTTGCTTGAATAACAGTTGTCCTTTCCTTTAATCAGTAGTGCAATTTCACAATCTAGATTCTTTTGGTGTAAGTCCATGTACAACCCAGACTCTTATTGAGACACATGTCTATTAGCAAGGGACATTTACTCAATTAAAATGAAAACATACAACAATATAATAAAGAGAGAATCCTCATGATAAATAAAACTCAATGTGGTCATCCTTTGTGGGAATCATGTCTGGAAGACATTAATGAATAGCTACCAAAGTAAAGTGTTGTATTTTCACAAGCCATGTAGTTAGACGAATACACATCGGCCCGCTGTTTATGACTGATAGAGAAAGCTTGTTTACTTTTATCCCAAATTAACAAGATACCTATTTTGATCTATATGTTGGTTGTGTCGTGTTGTATTAGTTAGATTCATTTTTCTCGTTGTTGCAGTTTTATGTTGCTGCTTGCTACAGTAGTGGGGTTCTGTCTGATTCCTAATTATATTTATAAAGAAAGATAAACGGTTATACTTTCTTTTTTTTTTAAAAGAAGGAATAAAGCATTCAATTTCGCCTACCTGACATTTTTCAGCATGTACAGCACCTCGGAGGGCAGATGGGAGTTCTGGACATCAAACTCCGTAAGGTCAGCCTCCAGCAGACTGGGGGGGGGCTCCTTGGGCTGCAGGGTGGGGGGCTCCTTCCCGATGCGCAGGATCCTAACAACACACACACATATAAAATTCATTCCTTCATACTGACAGAATGGACTACTCTGATTGGCAGAACAAGCATCTGAACCATCATTCTGAGATCATTTCACACACCTGTTCAACTTCTCTAAACACACTGGTATTTTATATTACAAATCTTCCTGTTTAATAAGTGCATGTCTGTTTATTTAAGTGTTTTAATGGAAATCCTGAATGGTTGTTTATTGGATTATTAAAGGAAGGATTTAGAATAACTCTAGGCATATGCTGTTTTTTGTATTCATCATCTACATTAGATCCAATATTTAGTGATGACTGACACTGATTGTGTTTTCTCTATGTTAACATACCATCTTATCTTCATTGATAAAATAATCTTAACTCAAGGGACTTACTTGGACCTTGAGTTAAGATTGTCAAACAACTATTTCAAAGATATGAATGACATTTGAACCCTGGAGCTTATCGTGTGTTCAGAAAATGCTGAAAAAGGGACTCACTTGCGGGCGATCGACAGGACTTTGGTCCTCTTCCTCACTCTTTGCCGAGAAGCTGAGTTTGAACCAGAAGAAGGGACTGAAGACAGCGTCTGAACCTGCAAAGGGAAAAGTGTGTCGATTTGATGTGCTAGCATTCATTCCTCTCTTCCTTAACAAACGGACATGGTGATTAAAAAAATTGTAAAAAACAATGAAAAAATCATGTGAACACATTCATTGCTTCTCACGTTTTTTCAGATCAGACTTAAATTTGAGATGGCCGATTATTTTAATACTTAACAAATAAGTGGTTTAAGAACCACCAAGATCTAAAAAGTATACCGTAAAAAAGTGGCTTAAAACTTGAAAAAAGTCCATTTTAAAAGGGGATAATGACGACAATACATTAGAAGTTGAATGGCTTTGTTAGCTTAGTTAAAAAAAAAACAGAAAATTGTTAGGCACATTTGGGATTATGCAAAAACACAACTCAACCAAATATACAAGAAATGTCTGGTTGTTTATAGATATTTAAATGCAGAAATTTTACATTTTTAACAATGTTTAAAAAGGCACTGACCTTTCTCATGATCTTTCGGCCGTAGAACATCACCTTGTCTCTCTTCCTGAAGCGATAGTTTGGAACGCCGGCCTGCTCCTCTGAAACACAGCAAGCATCCTCAATCAGGCCATAACATTAGTAACGTAACGTAATGTAAAGAGGCCATTAGCAATCTACAGATTGTCTGTGCCCTTGACACCAGTTTAGGACTGATGCAGTAAAGCTGCCTGCTTAAATCACACTGCAGTGCCAGGGCCCTGAAATAACACAATTCATGCACTAACTACTTTTTTTGTATCAACTACCTGCACTATCACTACCAAATGACTGCCACGTTTCAGTAACCAGGTCCAACCGTTGGAATGCATGCTTCTATAAACTGTGAACCCTGAAAGATCTCTGCTATTGTAACAATCAGTCTCTGAAGCAACAACTGTTCAAGCATTAACAGTGTACCAAGTATTTTTCTCATCCTGAAACATTTTAGAAACAGATGTAGTGTGAAAGTGAACAGGGGGTGCAGTGTACAGGGCACTGACTCGACAGTTTGTATCTTCTGTAAAGAAGGAACACAACAACTCCAACAACAGAAACAACCGTCACAGCTCCGATCAGCACAGCCGTCAACTGCAACACAGACAGACAGAGGTTTTTAAATGAGCAATCTGCAGTTATTTAAAAAAAGAGATGACTATTATAAGAACCCTCTTATTTATATTACCCATCGACATGTTATGTGATAAAAGGCAAAAGAGAAGTCATTCATATGTCGCCATTACATCCTTTTTTCCAGTGCACTTCAACACACACTTCAGTGATATTCTTTCAATTAAAACTGTTGGTGGTTACCATGTTTGCCTCCATCCTTTCCTCCACAAGCTGCTGCATCCTGGCCTTGATCTCACTGCCGAGTGGAAGCAGCAGGCTCTGAAACATGAAGCACAGGAACAACACGGAGAGAAGAAACCGGCAGGCAGGTCAGGCTGTGATGCAGCGTTCATTTGAAAATATGACAAGGCAACAACCTTATCATTTCAGTTTCAGAGCTGTAATCATCACGTGAAATACAAAAAGCATAGCGCAATACTTGTTTTAAATGTGTCATGTATTTCATTAGGAAAAACACCTCTGAATTATATGCCGACTGCTATATCATACATACAATATGCTTACAATAACTAGTGCAGTAACTATGGTGCATTTTGCTTTACCATTATCTATTCAAATATGACTTATATAAAACATGTGGCAGGTCCAAACTACACCAACTGGGTTACCAGAAATACACCCACAAAGTGAGAACAGTCCTCCAGATTGCCATGTTCTCTTGTGCAAATTAACCTTTCTCAAATTGTACAATTCTTGCAAGTGGTGAGGACAAAATTGGCACTTTCCAAAAGTGGTGGGGACATTTCCTCAGTGTCCTCATCATCCCCAGTATAAATGAATGCCTTGCTAGATACAAGCCAGGGCTATGGATATGTATTTTCAGACAATACAGTGTAATGGATGGTGCTGAGGAGACTAACCGGGTAGATGCTGCAGCTCTCCTCTTCCTCATTCTCTCCCATGCCTGTTCCAAGAGACAATGCATCACTGAAATTAGGCCATTTCTAGAGTTAAATGAAATAATTTAAACCAAAAAGTCAAACAATGAGAACATTTAATCAAGATAAAGATTGTGAATTTGAAACTTCAGAAGATGGTCACATAATGACGTGGTAGACAAAAGCGTTAAAATATTAAAAGTCCGATACTCGAACCATTGACGCTTTTATCGCACGTGCCTTGCTCCACCCAAATTACCGAGACTATTTAAGAATCTGGGTTAAAGATCACCTACATGGCTCACGAGAAAATGGTCACAAGCTTCATGGCTGTAACCGAACACTCCCCCTCACGCTGTCTCCCCAGCACTCTGCATGGGATAATTGGATCAAGCCTAACGTTACTTTGTTTACCAGATCCATCTGTGGATCACTTCTGTCACATATTTACGACTCCATTTGTCTTAGTCTCTATTCGTGTGTCAATTCAAAATGAGCAATAATAATAAATAGGTGTTTATCAGTGCTTTGTTATCTATATGTCGAAATACAAATTGGATTTAGGCATTCAAGTCGTATCCTATTTTGGTCCACGTGAGATCATTTGGCCAAATGGAAATTGCCAGATATTTCACAAGTTTGGCGACAACAACGAGCATCATACTCCTGGCTGACAGGATTCACATGCAGCGTTAGTGGATAAAGCACAATTACTCACACAGTTATAGTTTAATATGAACTTATAGTCAGTATAAGAGTGCGCAGAGAACAAACTTTGCATGTAAAATAAACTTTGACTTTGTTATAGCTGACTCTCAGAGGGGGTGTCCGCTTCTGTGTGCAGTCCGTTACAAACACACACAGCAGGACAACCGAATGCGAGCTGAAAGCTACATTCAAAGAGTCTATAACTAATACAAACAAATTAACACTCAGCTATAGCCTACCCTGTTCTAAAGACCCGAAAACTTATTTTTCCCAACATACCTTTCTTTTTGGTGTCAACGTTTCTGTGTATCTACAAACCTAAGAATAGTGTCGGACTGCTCGCTCTGAATGTCCTGCCACTCCTGTCAAAATAAAAGCATCATGCCGACGCGCGTGGGGCATGGACCAGAAGCGAGAGAGAACTGGGCACCATTCAATAGCTACATGTTTTATTATTACACAGTATATCCATAAATCAGGAAAACATTGCCAATAAATTAGATACACTCTGCAGATACTGTTTTGCATTCTTAGCATTTATTTTGAAGGGCTAGCTGTCGGTCTTCCAGGTAACTCTGGTTACCTTGATGCATTACAATCATTGACATTCCAGTTCTAGTATCTCGGATTGTGATTGGTGTTACTTTTGGACCAATCACTGAGCATTTCATTGGGCAGTGAGTGCTAGCACATTGCTTGTGTTGGACAAACAGTGGGCTCAAGGTGAGAGGAGTCGAATTTTTCCATCATTTATGAGCGTATAGAGAGAACATTATGACATTTAACTGAACGGAAACACATGTTTTCGTGTAATAACGTTAGGAATTCTAGTTTGCCAGAAGATGCTACTAACTGCAATAAGCTAGCTCGCATGTCATCGATAGCTAGCTAGCTAGCTAATGAATTCACTACAGAAAATGCAACACTTTCTGTGTTTTTCCTCAGACCTAGCAATAGATATGTCACCAGAAGGCATTTTACTGCATGTGGAAACATGTAATGTTATTAAAATGGTTTATTTCATACTTTGAATGTTAACAAATGGATGTTAGCATTTCTTTAAAAAAAAGTAATGTTCAAGCTGGGGTTTCTTATAGTTGTGTACTTCCCTAGACATTGGTGTTAGAAGTACTCAGATCAGGGATGCAAACTTGTCACCTTTCGGCCAAATTCGCCGTTTTGAATCCAAAATAGGTTGTTTGTGTGATTCGTGTAGATCTGCAATAAAAATATGTTTGGGGTAGGCCTATGGGGGGGTCTGGGACCATGGATGTATACTAAGAACTGTATACAGCGTGGGAAGCAGGGGCCGTTTCTCAATGTCGAGTAAAGCTGCTGCAGAGCCACTATTTCAAGTATACTACGTCATCGAGTGGCGCCGAAGGACTGTTTAAATGCCCAGCATTCGGTACCACTCGATGACGTAGTATACTTGAAATAGTGGCTCTGCTGCGGCTTTTCTCGACATTGAGGGTGTTTCTCAATGTCGAGTACGCTTGCTTGGTGGCACATGTCTTCCAGGTGTGCGTCATATGAGAGGCCCCACCTTACATTTTCCGCCACAGATTTGGGGAAATTGGTCTGTGCGCAAAGCATTGTGGGGATTTTAAGACCGCAGAGTCTACACAAGTGCAGCCTTGAAATTTCTCGCTACGAAGTACGCCGGGCTCGGTAGAATTCCAAGTATGCTGGACAGTGGAACAGTCCTTCGGCGGCACTCAATGACGTAGTATGCTTGAAATAGTGGCTCTGGAGCAGCTTTACTCAGCATTGAGAAACACCCTGTGAAATGGCCAGGGTCTCGTTCTTTCCTATGAGAGCTGCTCATTGGCACATGAAGGCAAAATGGCCCAACTTTTGAGAGAGCGAAACGTCACAGATTACCCTTCATTCCTGGCTAGAGCATGTGCAGTTGAGTTGATCCCTTAAGCCCCGCCCCCCAAGCTCCCACTCTCGGCTCACTAATGAATGGAGAGCAAATAAATCTAGATTTGTCTTTTAGTGCATTTTAAAACTTTAAGGACCTAATGATTCTAATAAGGGCTATAAAATAGTTCATACTGGGTAGTTTATTTAGTTAAAAAAAAATATCCGCTGATTTACAGACGTCTCTTTCCCCATGTTAGTCAATAGAGTGCCACAGTGACGCGTCCTAAAACCCGGAAGAAAGCTGCGCATGGGTTCCATCTACAAAAAAGCAATGCAATTTCTCCATAGGATTTTGGAAAATAGCTCGAAATAAAATCTGTGGTTGACACACATTCAAGAGACGGATCACGTTTTGTTCAGTCGGATAATCTCCACATGTCTACCCTACTTTTATAATTTCCGAATCATAAACCTAATCGATAGATTTATGATTTGAAAATTATAAAAGTAGGGTAGACATGCACAGCTTACTTTCAGGGTTTAGGACGCGGCACTGTGACATCACGGACTGATACGAAAGTTGCAGTACCGCCGTTTGGACATAACGAATGTTGGGCACAGAGTCCGGGGGCTGGGGGCTTGTCTGGGACCCGGAGTAATCTCCGGCCGCGAGCTGTTATGTGCCATCTTGACGCACATGGTGTTATTTTTAAATATATTATAATGAAGCGCGAACTGTGTGGTCGAATCTTCCTGTCTGTCGGCTCTGCTGCTCCGCGATGAGGGTCTAACTTCAGCAGCTACATTACCTACGGTGCGTTCGTTAACAGTAACGGCCCGTCCACACAGCAGCGTTAAAAAATCTTCCAAAGCTTCTGCCCATTCACTTTGAATGGGATGACATCACGTTGCCTCGCTTTTCGCCGAACTGCATTGTGGGGAAGCAAAGCGAAGATTTCCAGGATTTTCAGGATTCAAAGTTGAGCAATGTTCAACTTTTGAAGCTGAGGTGGAAGCGTCAGCCAATCAAATCCCGTTTATGCAAATCTGACAGTACAAGCGCTAGCCAATCAAACCGCGTGTAAGCTGGGAGAGACATACGATGTCATTTCCTCATATTTCAAACGAGAAATTACGGTAGCAAATCACCCGGTTCTTTACGACCAGTAACTATTTACCGGAATACAAACCGGAGGAACCAGGCATGGAGGGAGGTGGCAGAGACAGTGGGTGAAACTGGTAGGTTTTCGCCTGTTATATATATATAGCTCGCATAAAATCCCCGGGATGTTTTGCTTTGTATGTCGGGGGCGGGATATTCATGTGATTGGTTGTTTGTCGCGTTGCTCGCAAAAAATCCCCAAGCTTTCAGAAACGCCGACCTCCAAGATTTTCAAGATTTTTTTTAACGCTGCTTTGTGGACGGGCTGTAACTGTGCGGTCCGGAGTCACTGTGTCACAGACTGGGCCGCTGGTGAACAGCTGTTAGAACAGCTGTTAGAACAGTTCAGGTGTTCAGAGCAGAGCTCCCTGTCGGAGCGGCAGAGCGTGATGTGCAGTAAAGAGGTTTTGTGTCGCAATATTATTTAAGGAATCGTTGAGCTAGCTAACTAGCATACATTGTCACTATCTGCTAACGTTAGCTTTATTCTTCGTTTTCTAATAGTTTTTTTCATAGGCTATAAACAGAGGTAGAAGCACTCAGATCTTGTACTTGAGTAAAAGTAGAAGCACTCAGATCTTGTACTTGAGTACAACTAGAAGTAGGCCTACTCATATCTTGTACTTTAGTAAAAGAAGTACCTGAGTGTAGAAATACTGTGTTACATTAAAAGTCCTGCATTCAAAATGTTACTTGTAGAAAAGTATTATCATCAAAATATAGGGAAAGTAGCGACAGTAAAAGTAGTCATTGTGCAGATTGGTCCATTTCAGAATAATATGATATGTTTTATAATGATTGATCATTAAAGTGTTCTCAAAGCTGGTAAAGGTGCAGTAGTTTGAATAACTTTGTATACTGCAGGGTAGCTTGTGAATTTACTCCAGGTGGAACTAAAGTCTGATTTAACACTTGATTATATTTCACATCATTCATCCAGATCTGTAAAGTAACTAAAGGTATTAAATGTAGTGGAGTAAAAGTACACCATTTACCTCTGAACTGTAGTACATCAAAATATACTTAAAGTACCAAATGTAAAAATAACTATTGTGTTTAATGTCCCATATTAGAATGATATCATTACTGGATTTCTTTTTGATGTATTAATGTGTTCATCACAGCTGGTAACGGGGGAACTACTTTTAATTTCTTTATGTACAGCTGCTTGATATGTTAACCTTTTATATATTATTTATTAGCGTATTTAGTCAGTCAAAGTCAACTTATTGTCAATCTTCTGTATGCGATACAGGCAGGGAGATGACAATGCTGTTTCTCACAATCCCAAGGAATAATAGTTAACATTTCTAAAAATACCTACATAATATATTTAGTTTCAGCTAATAATCTGAATCTGTAGAGTGACTATTAACTCATTTTGTCAAATAAATGTAGTGGAGTAAAAAGTGAAGTATTGGCCTCCAAATTTGAGTGGAGTAAAAGCATAAAGAAGCATACAATACAAATACTGAAGTAGAAGTATCCCAAAATCGTACTTAATTACAATACTTGAGTAAATGTTCTTCAAGACATTACACCACTGTCCCTAGAATACATGTGTCAAACAACATGTCTTCTCCTTTTCTCCGTCTTTTAAAGGAGGAAACGCTGTGGAACCATGGGGGTGTTATCCACGTTGGTGAGGGGTCTGGTGAGAGGAGCGGACAGAATGGCTGAGTTTACAAGCAAACGTGGATCAAGGACTCATAACAAAGGCAGGGGTGCAAGGCCCACTGGGCTGAGGCTGTCCAGCAGGAAGTTTCTGTCCATACGGACCATGATTCCTGAGTTTGTTGTGCCAATCTTGGAAGACTTCAAACTTAAACCCTACGTCTCATATCGCTCTCCTCGAGGAGTGGAGCCCCCCCTCTCAGCAGAGAGTGTGTTTGCTGAAGTAGTGGCCCCTCAGATCAAGAAAGACTATAAAGATGGGACTTTCAGCAAAGAACAGCTGGAGAAATATGGATTTAATCCCAAGCAGGAGGGGAAGCTCTTCAAGCTGTTTCCAAAGAACTATGTCCGGTAAAGATGCATGCAGATCTCTGACAAAGAAATGTGATCAGACTGAAAGCGGTTGACAACTGGTGTGACACTTTCAGGAAAATTATCACACATGGGTCTGTCTGTGTTTAGAAAAAATATGTCATGCAAGTGGTTGACATCTGGCAAAAATAAAACCTGTAAGTCTATGACCCATACTGCAGAGTTGCATCAGTCATTTCCTTATAGAAAATTCACTTTGTTCAGAACCCCTTGATTTCAAAGACCTTT